GCGGGAAAGTGGCCTTTTTTTCTCTTGCTTTTGTATAGAGTAAGATTATAATAATACCACACTATAATACTCCGTAATAGTTAACAATGACGAGGACAACAATAACAATAACAATAACAATAATGACGATCAGGAAAACAATAATAATATTTAATACAACTATAGTAAAATACACTTTGATTAGTTCAGAAAAATTCGAATGTAATGCTTTTGTACTTTTTATACAAACATTTTATTTTATCATCATCATCATCATCAAATTGTGTTTGTTGAAGTGTAAAAGTAATAAATTTATGAATCTCATCAAGAAATTATTACCGAAAACCTCTAATCTCACCACACCTACCTTATATCCAAATTCTAATTTCTCTTTATAGTCTATCTAAATATTGTTGATGATTGTATTAGGAAAACATTTATTTTCATGTTAATAATAATTACTAAATTTTAATATATATATTCAAAAAGGTATATACATAACCGTAATCAACAATAATTATATTAATCAAACACAATGATACAATTGTTCAATGTAATATTTTTATTCAAGAAGCACTCGATTTAAATCAATATGCATGATACCGAAAAAATAACATTTCATTGAAATAAATTAACATATCCTATTTAGAATACACATTCACCTCTATAGTTTAACTCAATGAATGGTATGATAGTATGAAACAACTCATACTTCTAATGCATATATAGATTACTTTTTCACAAATGGTCACATATCATGAACCATACACACGTTTCACAAACACAACGATTACATTTGTCATGAATTTGTAACGGAAGCTAAAAAATCGATTTTTTGTAACACCTTGAGGCTGAACATATGTAAAAAATCTCCAGGGAGGTCCATCAACACCGACACAATTGTTTTCAATTTCCCACAAATTGATCCCTGATAAACTTTCCTAGGGAAGTTTCCGTGGCTTAGTGTTTTCTGTCAAGCAATGATTTATCTTTCTGACTAATATCCATGACAAAATTATCACAGACAATATTCATGACTAATATCCATGACAAAATCATTGTCGTTTATAGTGTTATCGACTTCAAATATTTATCAGACTATACAACTAATACTTTATCAATGCTTTTTTTCTTTGACTTTTTTAATAGTTTTTGTTACATTAAAATTTTACTTTTGTGATTACTAGAAAGTTTTTACACTTCCAAAAATATGTAATTTCAAATACTAATAAGATTTCAAATATTGTTCGGGAGGTACAACTTTATCATTATAAGTCATAATTGGGAATTCAGTGGGACATAGAGAATAATAATTTTACTATGCGTATAAGAAAGTCATTATTATATTGTTAATGATGAATTCTATATAGATAAAAACGCATATCATACACCGATTATGATCTATTAGTAAGCCTTTTTCAAAGATACACTAGAATACCAGCACACCACAACATGTTAGATAGTATTTAGCATCTACAAGTCTTATTTTAATTTTTTTAGATAAATACACCCACTCATTTGTTAATGTTCTTAACCTTGGTCTATTTGTTGTCAAAAGGGTGAGAATGATGTCAAGTGCTACACACATGAGAAGTGATGGTACTTGTGGAATTTCTTCTCCCTCAATAAGTATTAGCGGAGACACGTATTCTCAACCTTCATGGTATCGAAGTACAATAATGCCTAAAATCTTAAACTTGAAAAACTTGAGTTGGATGACTTGCTTGCTGCATATTTCAAAATGATATTACTTTCGATTCTGTGTAAAAAAGTTATTCATCAATCTAGTCGAAGGCATCTGTGAGTATGGTCCTGCATATATATTCCTTACTCATTTTCAAGGACTAAACTTATTTCAAGAGCGAAAAAATGTGTTGATGAATATGTTAAAGCTATTATGGAGTCATGGAAAAACGGGTTGATCCATCATTTCTGATACTTGGAGTGACATGAAAGGGCGGTGTTTGATTAACTTTATTGCATATTGTCCTAGAGGTTCGGTGTTCATTGAAATTATAGAAGATAACAAATCAGGTCTTTTTGTGAATCACTTAACTTCTTAAGGTATCTCCACATGGAATAAAATTCATCACTAATCATGGTTCAAACTATGTATTTGTTGGCAATATGCTTGTAAGAAAATTCACCACTGTGAACATCACTAAACTTTGTGTTGCTCATGGAATCAAATTGCTTTTAAAGGACTTCCATGAACAAATTTCTTGGATGTAAAAAGTTGTTGATGATGCTAATTCCTTTTAAGCATACATGTATCAAAACTAATAAGTTTGCTTCCAATTTTCTTATCTTCCAATCTAGTGTTACTCATGAGAGTGAATTGACTTTTTGTGGTCTCTTTGGAGTGGAGAGGTCTACTATACTTTATAGCAAGTCACAAGACGCTATTATTGTGCACAATTAATCCAGGACAATGTTTTTTGGTCTCAATCACGGGAGTGCTTACAAGCTTTGGAACCACTAGCTAGAGTTCTTCACTTTGTTGATGGGGATGGATCTACGACCGGATATTTATACCAAGCAATGAAACTTGCTATGGTTAGGATTCCAAAAAGGTCTGAAAAAGATGGGGATAAATATGAGCATATGTTGACTTTATTTGAGGCGAGGACAAAAGATATTATCATCCACCTCGTTCATGAATTTGCCACATTTCCTAATCTGTTATACATAACACTTCCCAACTTTAGGCTAACAATAGAGATGGGATAATGTGTGTTCCTGTTTGAGAATGTGGTGAAGCTGGATGAGAAGAATTTAGGGGGTGTTTGGCTCTGCTTCTTAAAACGCTTTTGCTTCTTTAGGAAGCACAAACAAATATTGAAGTGTTAGGGTAAACGTATAGAAGTACTTCTAAGTGCTCCAAATTGCTCTTAGATGTAGTTTTTTAGAAGTCAAACAAAACCGTCTTCTAAAAACTGATTTTGATTCTACTTCTACTTTTAAAAAGAACCAAAAACATAATCAATTCCAAACACTCCCTTATTCTACTTACAAAAACTGATTTTCCTAATCATGTTTTTTATATGAATACGCAATTTAATTTGAATATTGTAACATTGAATCAACCTTGTAGTTCATCTTCATGTAAGCGTAGTTGGAGTGCATTTGAAGTTGCCCATACAAAAAACTGTAACTGGCTTACTCCAGATATTCATGTATATGAGATTACTTCACTCTACATCACTCAGACATTCATGTATATTGTAAGAGCATCTCCAATGCTACAATGTGCACGGTGCACATATGACATTTGTGTGTCCTTCTTTCCAAGGTCTTATGTGTTTTTGGTAAGTTTTTGTCTGCAATGTGAACCACAATGTCTACATGTAGACATTGTGAAGAAAAAACTTACCAAAATGATGCAAGATCCTTCAAATAAGGAGAGAGATATTCTATTTATTACTACCTCCGTCCCATTTTATGGGTCTTAGTTTGACTTGACACGATTATTAATGAAGTAGTTGAAAAAAGTAAAAGTTGTGGTTGATGTTTGAGTATAATAAAGTGAAATGGTGTAGACCACATATTTGTTTCCAAAAAAGGAAAGTAGACACTTATTTTGGGACAACCCAAAAGAGAAAGTATGACAGGTAAAGTGAGACGGAAGGAGTATTTTTTAATTGGTTATTTCTCATGCCACATATGCAACATTAATGTTTTAGCATTAATGATGATGTAAGAAGAACACAACGATGATGCAAAAAATGTGGAAAAGATATTTAGGGATGATGACTTGATTGATTTAAGCAATCTCATAGAGTGACTAGATTATGGAGATGGAAGTTGAAACATGCTCTCCTTTTGTGGATGAGAATGGATAGATGAAGACTCCAGAGAGTTCATTTGATGACATGCAGAGTTTGATTAATTTGGCCACCTCTCTTTCACAAGTCTATGTGACTCATATTGATGATACACATATGAGTTTTAGTGTTTTACTATTTGATAAGAAATCATTGTTGATTTACTTTCCATTTTAGACTTTTTTGTTTTACGTTTCTTTCCCCAATTATTCGTTTAAAATGATTCACTCTTGATACCATGGATTCACTCTTAATTTGGGATTTAGTTTGATAAAAAAACTTTAAAATTCGTATCATTTTATTTAAAGTTTTTTTTTTTTGAAAATTTTTTATTTAAAGTTAATAGTATTTTTTATTTTATCCTTAAAAAACTTTATGAATATATTACCTTTTAGATCGAGAAAACTCAGCAAACTACATCTTAAATTGTTTAAGAAGATTCAATTACTATGAAACTTGTCATTGTTTTCTTCAAAAATTTAGTGTATATAGTTACTTAATATGCCGCATTTTTTAATTATGAAACATTTAGAGCACGTACGTATCTATATTCATATTGTAAATGCAAAAATCACATATATAATCATATTGCATTAACTTATTACTACGTACCAGTATATCATTAATCACATGACGGGATTGGCAGAGATTTGGCACGGATTTACCGAAAATTTTGTGCCAAATAGCTCGTGCCAAACTGTTTTTGGCACGGACTAGTGACAAACGCATATACGAAGTACTACGTATAACTTTATTATTCACATATCGTATGATATTTCTGAATTAAAGCATGATATCATCATATTAACCTTTGCCTTATCTTACCCATTTAAAATTTTAAAATATTGTGAACGTCCAATAAAGTCAAAATCCGTACCCAAAATACCTTTTAAATTGACCAACTATAAAGGCTACTACATTTTTTAATAAGTTGTGTAATCATCACCATCATTATAATAGAAAACGTGAATATATTGATGAGAATAAAGTTATCTACTCTATTTTACAAGGATTTGAAAAAAAAGGAGGAATTGGATTTGAAATATATCCACTTTGTGCAAAGCCCAAATTCACAGTATGAGAGGAGTCATCTGAGAAACCCTGGCCGTCCGATTTCTTCGAAAGTCGATGCGCCAATGGAAGTGGGCCCCACACACCCATCCGTTACACCCACTCTACCCTAACGCGCCCCTTAAACGTGGGCATTATCTCCCTATATATTCAACCACTGCCGCAGCGGACCGAGAAGCATCTAGGGTTTGTGAGTGAGTAAGAGAAAAACAAACAACAATGGCTGAGGGAGATCAGGGTAGGCAGACGGGCTCCGTCAAGTGGTTCAGTGAGGACAAGGGCTTCGGCTTCATTACTCCCACCGACGGCGGCAACGATCTCTTTGTCCACCAATCCGGCATCAGATCTGACGGAGGTCGCGTCCTCGGTGAAGGCGAGAATGTGGAGTTCACCGTGGAGGAAGGAAACGACGGCCGTACTAAGGCCGTCGACGTTTCTGGCCCTAATGGAGGCCCTATCGAAGGTCTCGGTGGTGCCGGAGGCGGCAGTGGAGGCCGTGGAGGCCGTGGCGGTGGTTATGGAGGCAGAGGCGGAGGTGGCCGATCTGGGGGCTACGGAAGCGGTGGAAGCTATGGAGGCGGAGGAGGTTATGGAGGCGGAGGAGGCTATGGAGGCGGAGGATACGGAGGAGGTGGCGGCGGCTACGGAGGAGGTGGAGGCAGCTATGGTGGATCAGGCGGCGGAAGCCGTGGCGGAGGCGGTGGCGGAGGCTGCTACCGTTGCGGGGAGGAAGGTCACTTTGCCAGAGAGTGCACACAGAGCGGCGGAGGCGGAGGTGGAGGTGGCGATCGTTATGGCGGAGGCGGCGGCGGACGAAGCGGTGGAGGCGGCGGTTGCTTCTCCTGCGGTGAGGAAGGTCACTTTGCTCGGGAATGCCAGAACAGCAACCGTTGATCTGTCTCTCCAACTACTCAGAGAATGACATTGTGAATCTTCACATATCTCATTTCTGTTTTATATTATCATGTCTCTTTTAATCCGTGTCTTATGTATGGATGGATCTAGCTTAACCGCCATGTCCAAGGTGTTATCCTCTAGCCTGTTTTTGTTCTAAGAAGTGATTAGTTTGTGTTAATGGAACTTCATTTCGGAAATATATACTTTTGCCTTATGCCTGGTTTTAACCTGAAATCGTTTAATCTTTAGATTTCATACCATATGTTGTTTTAAGATCTGTGGTCTGAGTATTATTATGATCAGATATCCCAACTGGTTTGGATTATCCATTTCGTTTTCTTGTTTACTTTTTGTTTTAGTTTCCATAGCTTTTCTTTTTCGTTGTGCTTGACTAAACCTTACTGGTTTGAAAGGAACTGAAAGCAACCTTTCCTTTACTGTCATTATAATTTTCCTTTAGAAAACAGTAGGGACAGGTTGGGGTTTGAACCTTTAGTAACCTTTCATATTCTGGAAAAGGTTCATGAATAGACATGTTGGGAAGTCCCATAAAACGCTCTACACATGCAACTTTATTAAGCTTTTGTAAAGTTAATTAAATGCGTTTCTAGATTTGGTAACTTGATTCAGTCCTTTAAATTGATAACTGTGCATCTTCGCTGTTGTGAACAGTGCTGTTACTCCAAATTTGTTACATTTTGTTGATGCACATTTTATCATTTCTATGATACTCGTACATTATACTGTATTAGATTTCTTTGAAAACATTAGACCATTTATGTCGCATTGAAGTGCCGAGCCTTTTGAATGAATAGTTAAATCCGGGGTATGTATTTAGTTAATTTTTGTCCATATTTTTTTTCCAAAGCTTATGTTTTCGCACTTGTATCTGAATAAAGACAGTACTTTTTTTGTTTATGAATTTATTAACCCTAAAGACACAACAAGCTAATTTTCTTTCTTATTAGTAGCTTTTTTTGTTGAGTTTTTTCCGCTGTATAAAAAATACCCCTCAGGAACCGTATTTGTAATTTGTATGCATCATTTTGAAATAAAATAACGGAACATCTTAAATCAATTCGGATCCTGTTAACATTGACTCCGTTTATTGAGAAGAAAATGGAACGGAGATGGGATTGCATAATGGCCTACATATCTGCCATTGACGCCCAAAATCCTGCAGGAAAAGACATTCTTATGATGGTTTCCTGTTGAGATAGGAGGTTGAGGTTTGATGGCTCTGCCCGTTGTGAGGTCTCTATCCGAGTCCCATCTGCAGATGTTGCATGTATATCTGCACTATGTACATGTTATACTCTCTACAGTTCGACATTCTTACTTTTTCGGAAATAACAAAATGTAAACAAATGAAAAGTATATGAGGTGTTTCCATCTGATTTTAAAACTGCTTTTGTTCCTTGAAGGAGCAGAAAGGAGCAGAAATTGAAGTGTTTGGATGAAATTACATAAGTGATTGTGGTGCTCTATTTTATTTCTAGAATCAGTTTTTCTAGAAGTTGGGGAAGACCAACTTATGAAAACTGATTCTGATTGTGCTTGTATTCTAAAAAAGAAACAGAAGCAGAATCGGTTCCAAACACACCTAAATTGCAGTGGGTGTTGTCTTGATTTTGTACAAAAGAGATAAAAATATTATTAATTAATTTAAAGACGAAAGGACAAAATTATGAGAGGGTCAAATGCAGAGTTAGTAAACTTGAATCCGGCAAATGTAATTCATAATACTCCCCTTGTTAATGGATGTTTCAAAATAAAAGCCATATTTTCAATTTCTATAAGAATCGTCATTTAATTACTAACCTACCTCTTTTCCTTTCGTACTAATTATCACATTTCATTCATCTTCCCAACTGTCTCATTAATTTACTCGTCAATGGATAATCTCAACCACCCGATCTGTTATTCATCTCATTCATTATCTTCTTCACCTCTCTCATTTGCATACTCCCTTCGTCTTTCTCTCATTCGTTTGCCATCATTCTGTTGCCACTCATCCATCTCGTCTATTATGTATACCCTCTTTGCCCTTGTCTCAGTTGTTTATCATCAATCCGTTGCTACTCACTTGCCCTTTCTCTTCCAATGCAACCTCCTTTTTTACCATCAATCGCTGCACTCTATTCTCCGTCAGCAATGGAAACCCTACCTCCGGCTTTACACATGCAGTCGGAAAGTGTTTTGGATGGAGGGAAGCTCACATCGGTCTTAGATCTTAAATCAAAAAATGATTGAACTATAGATCCATTGCATGCAACACCGATAATGATGTTTTCTGTAAGGATTCTTCATATTGGTGACTTAAGTTCATCTAAGATGGATCCGAATTGGGCGATACGAAAGAAATATGAGGACAACCTTGTGTCCGGCACATACGATGGGTTGGACGACTTGGAAGATAGAGAAGAGGTGTCTTCAACATCGTCAGATGAAGGTGGCGATCATATTTTAAAAGAAAGTAACTTTTCCTCCATATTTCTCTAAAATTTGTTCCATTTTCAATGTCAAAGTTGTTTCTTTGTTGGTAGCGTGCGTTTATGTGAGTTGGGGTTTGTGACTATTGGGAAATTAATGATGTTATGAGGCTTGAGTTCATGTTTACTGAATTTGTTGCCTATTTAATACTCCCTCCGTCCCAGGGAGAAGTTTCCGGGTTGACTTTCACACATATTTAGGAAATAAAGTTACCGAGGGGTAAATTTTTACTGTTTGGCACTGTTTCGACACTGTTTGGCACTGTTTCGACACTGTTTAGCACTGTTTTGCACTGTTTGACACTGTTTTGATGTATGATAACTTTCCATTTAGGGAAATGAGAACTTTTTGTTGGGACTACCAAAAAAGGAAAGTGGGAACTTCTCCCTGGGACGGAGGGAGTATGTTTTTTTGCATTGATGCAACCCAAATGAAAAATTGGAGGCTCTCTTTGCAATTCACTATTGTATAGAACCCAATTAACAATTTGCATTTCTAAATGTGTGCATTGCAACTCACATACCACATGCCATTATAACTTTGCATTTGGGCTTACAAATATTGTACACATATTACATGACAATATATCAATACTTGTACTTTATTACCAATGTATATACAAAAAGCATACAAAAAAGAAATAACACTTGTGTGTAGAACACAAAATTCAAAATTAAACCTGTCATAACAGTTCATATTTGAAGATATGCCTAATCTATAATTATGAATTATCCCAATGATTGGCCTGCGCTTGTGCCTGCATTGGTAGTTTCCACTTGTTCATTATAGTATGCCCTAACTGTTTCATACACTTGAGCACTAGTTTGAATATTTGTAGGTATTAGCCCTGGCCTTTCCAACTTTTCTTCACCAATATGATGCAATTTGAAATTGTTGCATCCCTTATTCTGCAGTACTGCTTCTATTACACATTGATAGCTTAGAATAACTTTGTTCAAAGTGCTTGTGGAAACAGTATGCCCTAACTGTTTCACACACTTACACACATACATTTTTTTGAGTTGTTCACATCCTCGATTTCAGTTTGGAAGAAGAGAGAAATAGAACTTAAAAAATACGAAGTAGAAATTATTAAAAAGAAAAGATGCATAGACATTGGACAGTCAATCCCTTCGGGGACATCCGATAAAATTGGAACGATACAGAGACATTGGACAGTCCGCATATGCACTTCACCGAACAGCCTTTTAGCAGCCTGTTAAATTGATTGATTCCGAAGTAACTTAATTAACGTTATAATAATTAGGGAGAATTTGTCTTTGTACCCCATTTTTCGGGTGATATTGGACTTTGCACTTCATTTTAAAAAAACATTGATTTTGCACCTCATTCTACTTAAAATCCTTTGACTTTGCACCATATTCTGAAATTTTTCTTCTCAAAATGTTATGTGTTTGGGATGCAAAATCAAAGTTTTTTCAAAATGGGGTGCAAAGTCCAATATCATCACCAAAGTGGGATGCAAAGTCAAATTCCCCCTATTAATTATAGTAGGAAAAAAAACAGTTTTCCCTAATAACAATTACATTATAATTACTATCAAATTGTATAAACACAATTCAAATATGATGATATATATTGATATACTCCGTATAAATTTGAGTTTAATAATCAGTTCTTTGAACAGTGGGAATAATAAACCATAAGGAAATTGTGTGAATAATAATAAACACAAAAATTCATTAGGACACGGTATTAAATTATCGTATTTATAGCACAGATACTTCACTCGGGTATCGTATCGACGTATCAGATACTCTAGAATACTCATACATACTGTACGTTCTCAGACTATATATACAATTATTAAAAGTTCTCAATTTTTTGGTAATTATTTTAAAATTTCAGATACACGTATCCAAATGGATACACTGCACATATCAACGTTTTTTGTAAAAACACTCAAAATTTAAATAATAAAATTCTTAAAAATGAAAAACTAAAAATGAATTTTACCTTGCTTTAATCTCGCACACAACTAAGTATATAGACGAGAAGTAAAATGTGAGATGTTGGTGGAGATGATTTTGGGAGTATGGAGGATATAAGAGTACTTGAGTTTTCGATCATTCCATGGATGAAACACAATTGTAAGTTGTGTTTTTGGAAGACGGTATTATCCCTAGAAATTAGTATTTCCAGCGAAAATATGTATTAGAGCTTTTAGTTTATTTATTAAAGTATTGTTTTCTATCTCAATTATCCAAGAACTGTAGTATTTGCAATTTTAATTTCAAGATTGTGGTTCTTTGACTTATTTGTCATCTTAAATTAATGACTTATTGATTATATTTATGTTTAGAGAACACTAGTGTACATGAGATGAAGTTGAATTTATTTCTAACTATTTTGATAATGTGAAATGTTTCGATGCCATGAATAGGCAAAGGTCAGAAGATAATTATGTACTCCGTATATATTTTCAAAACAAAATTATAATTTTTAATATTTATAAATACACCCCCATTATTTTTAAAATGAATAAATACATCCCTATTATTTTTAATATTTATAAATACATCCCCATAATTTTAATATTTATAAATCTATCTCCATATCTCTCTCCTAATTTTGTTGTTGTGTCATATCCTTGTACCCGTTTCCGTATTTCTGAGTATCCATATTCGTGCTACATAGCTACTATTAGATAAACTCATAAACCTTTTATGAAAAATAACACATCTAAGTAACCCTCAATGATCCTCTTTATTCTCCTTTTACATTTCTTTTTCACTTCAATGAAGAGGTAGAGGGGTGAACTTCCAAATCTCACAAAGATTAGCACTTGGTGGAACGATTTCACCATCACCCCATGCCCCCATGGCCCGTGGGTGAGATTGTGTGCAAATTTAGAGTCACACAAGGGTGGAGTCAGGAGCACTAGACCGGTACAAAGAATATTTTTGGAAAAAGATTTACACAGATTTTTTACATTAATTTGGGGTAAGCCGGAACCTAGGTTAGCCCCCTAGCTACGCCCCCGGAGTCACACTCAATAATTATTTATATTAGGTTGGTTTTATGTGCAAATTTGGAATCACATTTAATACTTATTGAGATAATTAATGAAGATTAAAACTTTTCAGAAGAAATCGAAATACATTTAGCCATGAAGCAAATCCGGTATAGATAGATCATTCTGATTGATCATTAACGTCCATTATTACGTTCCGGATATGTTATAGAAGTTTCGTGGAAAGACATTCAAAAATATTTGCAAGAAGCTCAAGCTAGTTGAAGAAGTTGATTATATCTTTCCTCAATCTTAAGCTAGTTGAGGGGGTTGATTAGAATTTTCTTCAATCTTCAAATAGAACTTGTCAAGGCGTTGTTTGGCCTTAGCTACCTCATTATCCCAGTTTGTTCTCCATGTCATGTAGAGTAAGGCAACTGATACACTTACAACCCCACATATCATTCCAGTCCATATACCCTACAACACAACCGCAAAGAAAATCGATTTAAAACAAAGAGAACTATGTATTAGATTTAGAGGTCCAGTCTTGAAAGCCGAACTCAATAGGAGCAATAAAAAAAGGATGACACATCATCTCTGAAGACCCCCAAAACCGATCGGACAATTATCTGGATGGTGTAAGTCGAGTTTTGATATCACTCTGATGAAAAGGGAGTGAGGTTCCATCCCAAATCATTGTTCGGAGTTGAACCCGACACCCTTCCCTTATGGCACTCTTTCCTACCAGGTGAGCTATGCCCCCATGTAGAAGGAGTAATCCTAGACTTTATACGTTGATTTGCATCTCCCATATAACAATACATACCTTGACTTCAAGATGGGCTACATAGCCAAGCAAAGCTCCAACCGGTATTCCAATAAGATAAAAGCAACAAAGGTTTATAACAGCAACTGTGCTTTGTAAGCCAGCTCCAATTGCCACACCTGATCCATGTCCAAAACTTAAGTGCCAAAACTCAAAAGAAAATGTGATTATTTTTTATTTAAACTAATTAGAAACTTCTCATTCACAAACTATATTAAAAAAAAAAAGAACTTGCCTGAGAGTACTGCATAAAAGCTGTTGAGCAATATGGAGGTGGAGGTCAAGAGAGAGAGGTCTGCCACAGCTTCTGCAACCTCTTTTTCATCACTAAACAAGTACCCAATTTTGTTACTAAACGCCAAGTCTATTATAGAGAAGAACACTCCGATCACAACTGAAGTTCCTACAAGGACTTTAATAGAGAATTTTGCAGCTTTAGCATCTCCTCTGCCAAGTTCATTTGCGATCCGCACGCTACACAAAACATTTAGTAATAATTACAAACATCAAATTAACACAATACTACCTTCGTTCTTTTTGATTTTCGTGTTTGCCAACATACAACTTTGACTATAATAACTATATCTAATACTAGTAATGTACAAGTAAAACTGTAAGAGTTATAAAAATGTTATTAAAATCAACGTTAACAAAGGTTTAATACTTAATATATTATACGGAGTATGAACTAGTAGAAAAACTTGGTCAGAGTAAAGGTCCGCGAATAGTTCAAAAGTCAAAGTACTGCAATTAAGAAAAAATACAGACACAGCAGACACACGTATCAGCTTGCAGTTCTAGTTAGTGTGAACATACCAAGCAGCGCCGACGAACCCAAGGGTTATCATGAATATCCATGAATTTATATTAAGGCTGCAGAATGAAAATTAGTCAATCAGCCACATATGCATAATGCACTAAGGGCCTGTTTGGAACTTTGAAAATGCTAAATAAAGAAAACATAACGGAGAGCTAAGGGGATTTTTTTAGTTTTTTGTTCAAAATTTTTACAATTATGTATATCTTACTTCCTCCGTTTCTTTTTAATTGCAACAGTCAACGTTTCACGTTTGCCAACGCACAAGTTTGACTATTAATATCTTTAATTCCTTATTAGTAAAAAATTTAAAAAATTCATATCTTGAATATTTTGAATGAGAAGAATTTAACAATATTTTTTTAAAATTTAATTTATAATACATTAAATAATAAAATATAGTCAAAGTAGGAGACGTGAATAGTGTAAAAAGTCCAATGTTGCAATTAAAAGAGAACGGAGGTAGTATTTGATATAAATAAAGCTTCATTATTTTTTGGCTTGAGAATATGATGGAATAAAGCAAAATGACTCACTAAACTGTGCACTTCTTTGTTATAAAGCAGCAATCAGTCCATGCAATTTTGGACGTGATTTTCACTATGGGTCATCCGGAAACAGTCTCTTTGTGCTTTAGTACAGGGGTAAGACTGCGTACATCCGACCCCCTTACCCCACCATAGGTGGGAGCCTTTGCGGCACTGGGGTAAATGAAAATGAAATGAAATGAAATGTATATCTATTTGATAAAGAATAACAAATCTAATACAGGTAAAATTTAAAAAACAGAATCACATTTGATTTTTCTTCTTATTCTCCCAGGAAAAATCAAACACTATAAGAATATCATGTACCATGTCATTTATTTCCTTTCACTACTGTTTTCCAGGTTCCAAACTCAACCTAGAAGTTCAACATAGAAGAAACTAGCCAAGAGTGTGATACTTACCAGACTGAGAATGCTGATATGGCCACCTCTGCGTTCTTCATATATCCAGCTAGTAGGACCAAGACTGCACTGTACCAAAGCTCCAGACTAGAAATCAATAAAAGAAAACGAGTAAGTGACATTTTTCATGCATACGCAAAAATAGAGGCCTATATGAGTATATGTACATAATGTCACACGGAACTAATTTTTCATGTACCCCAGAAATGAACTGCAACAAATTTAATATGAAGACTTTAGTTGGACAAGTTAAACAATCTTAAACCATCAAATATAAAGGCATAAAGTAACAAACACATATATAAGTTCTTTGCCTAGTCTCACGGTACCAAGTATCACCTATTAGGATGGAATCCCGAAGTTCAATATGCATCACTTACTTGATCCAACTAAGTCTAAAGAAAGACCACATATTTCAAGATTGGTCTGTTTCAAAGAGCTTTTTCTAGTACAGAGATAGTAGGATTTATGGGGAAAGATGGAGATACCAAAGCATAATCCCGGAGGCTATGGAGAGCTTCACAACAGGTAATATATCTTTGAAGGCAGCAATGGTAAAACCTCTCCATGTAGCTGGACACCAACCTCCAAGTAAGTAGACCAACTCCCCAATCACAACGAACCAAGAAGACACACACAAGGCAAACATTGCTCCAGTTACCCCAAACTCAAACTTGTAAACTAGCAACCAAGACAAAGGAACATGAATGACAAACTGCGATGTCGATAGCCATGCAACAATCGTGTTCTTCTGCTGTGCTTGGAGATACATTTGGATGCTGATTGCAAACACAAAGCTGTAGCCAATAGGAATGAACCATAGGGCGATATATCCAGCTGACCTTGCTATGTCTTCTTGCTCCCCAAGAAGCCTCAAGATTGGGGTTGCAAAGATGAAAAAGGGAAGCAAGATGGTCATTGTGATCAATTCAACAACACATGACCTTTGCAAGTAAATGCCCATCATGTAATACTGCCTTGCTCCATATGCTTGTCCACATAGAGTTTCTGTTGCACTCGACATCCCTATCTGAAACCGCAAATATGATAGTGCTTATAATGATTATGCCATAAATTCAATTGTAAAATCTATATCTCTTAAACTCGATACGAATAATATGAAAAAATCCCAAAACGGATAAAGTAAATAGAAAATTATGGGTCAATAAGACCACAGTACAGATTGAACTAGCAAATGGATTGTTATTAATGTGAAAAGAATCCAGGGAATGTTACCAATATTCCGTTCACAAAGCGAACTAAGAGAGTTTGAACAAGTGCATAACCAGCAAGATCAAGTTCACCGATGTGCCCAATGAATGATTGTGTCACCACTATACTTCCAAATGAAGCCACTCGTGATAGTATACCGGGAAATGCAACTCTCCATATCTTCTTGGATTCATTGTATACCTTGACTTTCAGGTCATCATCTTTCTTATCTACTTGAGAAGTAAGCAGCTTCTCACCTAAGCCGTTATCCATAGCTCCTATGTATCAAACACCAAGAACTGAAACTCGAGAATTAGCAAGTAGTACTGTGTATGCGAGGTAACAATTTTGCCACAACAAATATGAATGTGATGTTATACGATAGTATATTTGTAATCAGTATGTAACACAATCTCACAAGGCCAAATATAAGGATACAAACTTGAATATGTGTAGTGGCAAAACTGATATCTTTTCACTCTTAAAAAAGAAAGCAGACATCATTAAAACTTTTACTATAGACGATTCATGTGCTTAGTCATGGAAAGAAATTAAAAAAGAAAAGAAAAAAGACGACACCCCATCCCTGAGGTCCAAGAACTACTTTGACTGTTAGTTGGGACTTGGTACTTGGGACTTGGAAGGATGTAAATTGGACATTAATAGGGGTTCTTGTCACATAAGACCACAGTACAAATTGAACTACCTCCGTCCCATTAAGAAAGTGGCACGGTTATTACGAAAAATGGATTTATGTGGTTGCTATTGTATTGATAAAGTACGATTGATTTAGTACCACATAAACTTTATTAAATTTGGTATGAGACAATCTTAGTGGGAAGGATATAATATTTCGTAAATAAAAAAGTTGAGCCTGTTTAGTAACACTGATATTGAGTGAATCGGCCGATTCTGCTGAAATTATGAAGTTTTAGCCGAAGTGGATGGATTAGATGATTCTGTTCAATTACAAAAAAATTATATTCAAAATATATTTTATTAGTAAAAATGAATAAAAAATTATATGAAAATAGCTAAAATGATCATCTACAATAACTTCAGCCAATTCAGTTAGAAAAGTAATTCCAACATTACTCACTTTTGATTATTACTTCGTATTAATTTTGAAAACTAAAAGATAAGGAGGGGCGAAAACATATATGTATCTAACTAAAGTATGAAAATTTTATAAAAACATTACATATATGGTAGAAAAATTTGAAAGTCCAAGGGGCGGCCCCGCGCCCCCTTAAATCCATCCCTGTCCAAATGCATGAGAGAGTAAGACCATCCAATAAAATGGCAGTTTGCAAATTGTGAATCAGGGCCGTTTTTTAGGGGGTTTAATAGGTTATCCAGAACAGGGCCCCCAAATTTAAGGGGCCCCATATTTTAAAAAATTATTAGTAATTATATTAATATTAATATAGATACATCATTTTTTCGTTAGTCATTTTACTCTTTTAGTTCTCTTTTAATGAGTATTCCATTAATTTGAGTATAAATATTTCGATTGAGATTTTTTAATAATTTTTTATATTAATTTGGGGCCCTGCTTTTACATTTTGAACCGGGGCCTCCAAATTCATTAGACGGCCCTGTTGTGAATATACGCTTCTAAAAACAGAGGATCATACTAATATAAAATGGTAAATTCTATGTCGGCTAATTTAAGCTAGTGAAATAGTTTCCGTTTGAAAGGTGCAAAATGTTACACACACCCATATTTCGTGCACCTACTTATTAATTAGTAGAATGAATTTGAGAAGTACCGCCCGGTTTGGCAAAGTCCCACATGCCAACAGCTGTATTCTTCCCTATTTAAGACCCTCGTATTATTTATGTAATCCGTGCAACACTCTTAATATCTAGTACCGTATACATCTCATGTCAAGGTTTCCTCATTATAGAATAAGCTCTTACAAAATTAAAAATTTATTTTACGGAGTATAAATTTGGGAACTATTAGGGCTAGTTTGGTACTTCGTACATTAAAATTTTACATGCAAAATAATTACATGTAAAGTGTAGGGGCAGTAATTAGTTTACGTGTAAAATAAAAATACATCGTTTTGGCTTACATGTGTATTCTATTTTTAAATTACACGCAAAGTCTTTACTATATTTGCTTACAAAATAATTTTACATGTAAAATACTTGGCAAATCCAAGCACATCCTATTCGAGTAAGTAATTAACTTCATCAATAATGCAAGGGAGCATTCTAGCAACTTGGATTTCCGAAGCATAATAAGAGATTAAATTTCTACCGTTCTATCTGTATGACACATTCCATCTTGCTTGTTGAGACATAACAATAATTTTATCGTGCTTGCTACAAGATTATTGTTGTAATCAATCTTGAAACTATCATGAAGTAAATGGAAATCCGAAAGTGCAGAAATCAATCTTGTAGTTATATTCTCAATAGGGCAGACGTATTAATTTGGTGATATGCTAAATAGGATGGGAAATCTGTTTATTGCTTCCAAGTTTTCCTTTTGCTGCCAATCACTATTCTGATCTTTAATCGTGACGGAGTTTTCTCCTTATTTAATTGTTACGGAAATACAGAGAATTATATTTTATAATCATATTAATGAATGTAAAGTAGTTTACTACTCTCCCCCATGTAAAGTATTTTACATAGTACAATGTAAACTGTTTTTAAAAAAAAAGTGTCCTACAATTTATATCAAATAATTAAAACAAACGGTGTAAAATGTTTACTTCCCCACACTTCACATGCAAGGTGTTTACTTTACATCATACCAAACGGGCCCTTAAATGTAATTTTACATATGCTAAATTGCTAGTAGAGTTGAATGGAAGGCGTCTCATATATTTGAGTTATTGTTGAATAAAATATTGAAAAGTTTTATTTGTGTACAAAAACTTATACCAAGTACTTTTCATCTTTTGACATGACAATATATCCACAAACACTAGTTGTCCTCGGGAACACAAAATTAATAAAGTAAAAGTTGTATGATTGAAGTTTGAGCATACAAGATAGAATTAATTGGAATCATACATATTTTACTTAAACGACAAAGTTAGTGGGGCAACAAAAAAATAGTAAAATTTTAAGAGACCAAAGAAATAGTGAGTATTGTTTAAGCACAAATAGAGAGAGTTCTCTATGCCGCATATAATTGTTTGTGAGTGACCAAACATGTAGCTCAAATAGCTTTGTAAAATATTTGTATAGTTTCTAACGATGTAATACTCCGTTTCATTCAATTTTGTCAACTAAGAGGATGAAGTTTTGTAGAGGAGAGAGAAAGAAACAAAAAAGATAATGACAAATTCATTACGGAGGAAAAGACAAAGTTTTGAGACAAATAAAAAAGAAAAATTGGTAAAGCTCAATAAAAATGGATAGAGCATATTTCAGTAGTTAGAGATTAATTTTAATATTACCAGGAAGCTTCGTCATTCAGTTGACCACAAATAGAACAGAGCCAGAGGGAAGGAATATTGTTTATGAAATAGTGCCAATATCTCAGCTCTCCCAATAATTATAAACACATATACGAAGTATATACTGGCATATGTGTGTGTGTGTTGCTTCTGCCTGGTTTAGTAGACGACAACAAGTTCATGATGGATTGCGAAGATAAGTTCTTGTTTGCACAGAGAAGCTTTCATAAATATGCATAAATAATAATCAAAGTAAGACAAACCAAAAAAAATGAGATAAGCAAAGATGGAGTTGCTCACTTACAGACGTTAATAGGCCGGCCGGCGATGGAAAGAGGCAGCTGGTGGTCTATGCGACCTGGCCGGAGTCTCTGCACCCTCTGCCCGCAAACAGAGGCGACTTTGAATATGTGAGAGGGAGAAAGACCAGAGATGCGGCTGTTAATTAAGAATCAATAAGAAGATTTGTCCCCAGCTCTACCTATAAACTTTAATGCCTACAACTTTCCCATTTTCCAGCTTTTTAAAAATAAGATAGATTACCATTGGACGTAGCTCAACCGGCAGTAAGGGAGTGTCACAAGGGTTAGGTCTCGGGTTCGAATCCCGTCAACTGCGATAAGGGGTTACTATGCTGAAAAATGCATAAGGCCTCTGCAAGTACCGGAGACGGAGCCCCACTCTCTATCTGTCAGGTTGTGATTATAGTCCAACTTACATCCTCCCATCGTGCTGTCCGGTCGGTGTTAGGGGGCCCTCAGGGATGGGGTGTCATCCTTATTTAAAAATAAGATAGATTGTATGGTATCCATAAAGTATCATACTTTTGTCCAAATAGACCAATGAGAATATAACAGTTGAATTATTTAAATGAAAATGATAAAGTGATGTGGTCCAATCAAATGAATGGTAGGTACGGTACCCCATTTTTTAGGAGGGTACTAAAGTTGTCACCAATAAATAATTGAGTATTATTGGACCCACTTCTTTTCTTTCAATAGTAAATAAATTGCTTTTTATGTCTTATTTTATTTACCTTACTTTTTTATTTGAGTTATTTCAATATAAGTGTCATATTTTCCTTTTGAAAAGAAATATATAAATCACCACATTTTATTTTATTATACTCAAATTTTAATCAAAAATATACTTTTTCTACCACTTTATTCACAATTGTATCAAACCAAAAGAAGACACATATAAATAGGTAAGAAGTATTAACAACCGTTTTCTTGGAAAAGATGAAGAAATAAATGGATTAGCAGCGCAGCTTCTATGTTGCACGGAAACGCGAAAATCACGAGGAAATGAAAAACGGGAAATGTTAACTTTTGTCCAAAATGACTTGTTTGGAGAGTTTCCAAATAGTTTCCGAAAGTTTGTGTGCCATTAGCTCTTAATGGGTGCTCCCTATTTCTTTTGGACACATGAGATTATCAGCAACCCGCTCTTCTTTATTTACAACATACTCCCTCCGTCCCGAAAAGGTTGGCCAAATTTCCTTTTTTGGATGTCCCAAAAAGATTGGTCATTTCCATTTAAAGTAAAGGATATGTGACTAAAGTTAATTCTCTCTCCTCTGCACAAATTTCAACCACACAGTTTTTACTTTATTAATCCACGTGAAAGTCAACATTGGCCAACCTTTTCGGGACGGAGGGAGTACAACTTTAATATTAACATGTTTAATAATATCTGAATAAATAATATTAAAAGATATGGAGTAGATAACATTGCATTTTTTAAATTTTAGAGAAATTCAATAATGTTTTTTATATTTTTTTAATCATAAAAGAGCGGCTTTATATTAAAAACGAGGACACATACAAGACAACCTTCAGACAGATTTTACAGATCCAATCATGAACTCAAAGAGTAGACATAGAGTTAGTCACCTCAGCTCATACAAAGCAACATATCTCACAAAAACCTGAAACGGGCAAATTAAGCCTAAAAAGAACGGATTTGAAACTCTGTCTATCAAAAGAATTTCAAAAATCCAAACATTCAAACTAAATCTACTCGGATTAAAACAGAAACAAGTACTAATAAAGACAAAATAATATTGAAATAAATTTTTTTCACAAAAAATCTTCCTGGTATGGAGGTGATTTCGGAAGAGAACGAGCTCTTACAATATGGGTGAATACCATCTCCACAACCGTCGGAGTGACTGAACAAACTCCCAGCCATGAATCGTTCATCTGACAACGCTATCTTCTCCGATGTGGTTGCAATCTCAAGCGTTAGAACACTTAAAATTAATATAATTTGTCGCTCAAGCCCCATATTGATAGGGGCGACGGAAAATCCAATCCCTACGATGAGGCAAGAGTACTAGGGGTGGGATTTTGGAACCGGGAACCGTAGAACCGATCGGAACCGAACCGTTAACAACATCTAGGAACCGAACCGTTAACAATTAATACCTCATACGTAGGAACCGAACCAAAACGGGTTATAACGGTTCGGTTCCTGGTTCCTATAAAAAATATGTGCATTGTTAAGGAACCGTTATTAAAAAAATATTAGTAGTAGTAGTAGCAATAATAATAATAATAATATAATAGCAATAATAACCACCACCACAACAACAATAATAATAAAACAATATAAGATATTTAACTAACAATTCTAATTTAATCAACGAAAACGAAGTGAGGTTGATATAATACATTAAACTCCTTTCTACAAATCGTGTTTTGTTCCATCACATAAATTTTATAAATATAAAATAACCCATATAACTTGTAGTTGATTGCACATATTTGAATTTACTATTTTAATGATATTTCTAATTATTAGATTTATTATGTATCAATAGAATGTAATAATGTTTTTTATATCTATATATGCGAACTCAATGTATTTTTTTATGTTTTGAAAGACTTGAAGTAGACGTCGTATTCTTGCTACTATGATGACGAGTAACATTCATCGCACCCACACTACTATGATTTTTATGTTTTATTTACTACATGAAAATTTAAATAATCTTTTGTTATATTACGCGTTCACGGTTCATTAGTTAAGTTTGAGCTTTGATGTTTGAAGTGATTAAAGCTTCAAATAAAATTTTAATACTCGTGTTTTGAGTTTTCGACGTGTTTATGTTGTTTGTAGAAAGTAAATTATGTATTATTTCTTAGATGAGAAAAAATTATCCTAGGACCGGTAAAAGGAAGAACTGAACCGTTTACTACCGATTCGGTTCCATAACGGTTCTTGATTTTTTATATAGGAACCGAACCGATTTTCATTAGTTAAAACTTTTATAACGGTTCCACTCATTTTGAATAAGAACCGAACCGGTCCGGCGGTCCCAGCCCTAGGCAAGACGTCGGAGTTAGGGAGAGACTATCCATTTGAGTGGGAGACATTGGAAATGATAATGATGTTTTTATATAAAATGATTTGTTTATACAGTATAAAATTACTTCGTATAAACTACGCACTATGTAGTAGAGATTTATAGAAGTTTGGTCAAAGAGATGTATTGGATAGTTCTAAAGACAAAGTGGTTCGGCGGAGGAATAGAATTTATTTTATAAATTCTAGTATCACATTTTTATATTTATATACTCGTATTAAAATAAACATAGGTTCATGCTATGATGGCGAAGATAATTTAGAAGGTTAGTTTATATTATTAAAGAAATAATTACATATTTATGACTAAAATAAAGATTGTTTACAAAAATATGACTAATGACTAGAGTAGTAATAAATCATAGTAATTTATGTTCGATTTTAAACTTAAGTTAACATGATATTACATGTAGTAACTAATATATAGTCATATTTGTGTAAATAAGTTTTATTTTAGTATTATTTTTGTAAAAAACCCATTATTAAATCCTAGTCGCTTTGTTTTACTAACTTTAAAACCGTTTATTTGTTCCAAAAGATTGAATCTCCAATCATGAAACTCCCAAGCGTAGAAATAACAAATCATATCAAAGGTTCTAAACTATGATTCAATAAGTTTTAACGGAATTGTGCGCATTAGCCGTCCAGCCCAACACACAAGAGTAGTAACCTTCACATGATAGTGCGGATCACGATCGTTGATCATTTTTCAAACTTTTCTACTGATTTACCTGTAAAGCTATTTATGCGTGTAATATTTAAAAACCATTTAATGTTTGCACCAATAATGCACATTAATATATACAAAATACGTACTTATGGACTTTAGGGTGGTCCAACGGATGTTATCATTGTTATGGAGCGATTCATTAAGTCAGGACAGCACCCCAATATTTGAGTTATTAACCCAAACAAAATTATTTAAATAAGAATAAAATATACCTAAAGTGCATAAGTAAGCCAATTCTTGTTTTCTTACTAAAAGAAAATGATTGAATCCTAATTGAACAAATTTATAATTTTATTAAGACAAAATAAATTCTATTTTATAAATAAAACATAATTAATCTTCTTTAATTTGCGGACTTTGTTTATATTTTAATTCTATTTGAAGCAATTTTTTTACACGTCTTCTAATATCTTCTATTTTAGAAGATGTGTAATGTACCTAAAAAACTAGATTTCAAACACATAGTAGAAAATGTCTTTATTATAGACCAGTCTTTGCAAGAACAAATTCCCGGACTAAACAAACCATAGAGACCCCTCCCTTTGCTCGTATAATGAATATTATTATACCCTTCAAATGACCATTCTTTTAGCGTATAATGAATATTACTCTGCCTATTCAAATGAGCATTACCTACTTACCTAGAACAAATTGAAATGAACAAATAAAATGTGAACACGATGGAATGAACATCTTCAGGTGTTAATAGACTTTTGGATCTTCAGAATATGGGTGACATGTCCCACTTGGTAATTAGTCAATCGATACTACTCGAGTACTCGTAATTTAAAAGGCACAATTATTTCGATAGCGGAAAGTGCAGAAGGAAATCACGTGCCAGCTAACTAAATTCAAAAAGGAAAAAGTGCAAATAGGTCATGTACTAACAAAAAAAAAGTAAAATAAGTCCTTATTTAGAAAGTTCTGTCCGGCTGTCGTCATTTAGGGTGGTTTCCGGTGGAATTTTTTGAGCATTTTATTCATCAAGTCTAGTTTGTTCATACCAAATTTCAGCTAAAACTTCAATCGGGAAGACATTCAAATGAATTCTTGAAAATAACTGCGCAGTTAGAAGCGCAGTTATCTTAGGATGTTCCTATCCACTCATATACCCTCTACTCACATATGTTTGTGAAATATTTTTGTGTCTGTCAACTTTTGCACAAACAAAATATTATCTCTGAATCGGATTCACATATAACAAAAAAAAACACTTCACATATCAACAACATTTGTTGAATTAAATTAGTGGACCAATTTCTCCTATCCGTGCATGTAATAAATTAAGATTTTTTTTATTTTAAAAAGATCGTTTTTTAACAATTCTAAAAAGATCGTTGAAATATGAAAACGGAATAATACTACTCCGTAATTGTTTTCGCCTTTTCGGGATTAGGGATTTTTTACTTGGAGTGTAATTTGCATGTCTGGTCTGGTTTGGTCTGGTCTAGTTTGGTCTGAATTGGAATGGTCTGGTCTGGTTTCTTTGTATTTTTATAATTATTCAAGTCTAGTCTGTTCTAGTCTGGTCTGGTCTGGGACAAATTGTCCAAGTAAAAACATCTTAGATAAAAAAATACAAATTCAATTTTGTATTTTCTAAAATCAATGTTTTACGTTTTGGGTTTTTTAGTTTTTAATTTTGAATATAAAAGAGCGACTTTATATATTAATATCAAGAAGTCATACAAAATAACTTTGAGACAGTTATGGTAGAACTGATCGTAAGTCATAGGAATAGACATTATTTAATCAACCACCTCATACATAACAATCAGATTCGCTAGACACAAAACAAGCAAATTTAAAGCTAAAACAATCGGAACTGAAACATTGTCTATAAAAAGTACTCCGTGTTGCGGTTCTTTGTAGGGGTGATATTCGAGTACTTGAATTGCTTAAGGATCGTGTAAGTTCACTTTTCAAATTGATATTTCTCTCATATGCCTGAGTTGCAAGAAATTCAATCTAAGATAATTTTAAGAACACTCAAGAACTTAGGCACGAGATCTAGAGCGCGAAGTAGTGAGTATATGAATTGTTTTCTCTATTTGAATGCCAAAGTGATGAAGATGTGTTGTATCTCATGTATCTTGTTCTCTAGACGAAATATGGAGATATAAATTCATATTAACCGTTACAAGCAACTACAACCCGTTTGGGAATAATCATAGCAGTTTCTGAAAAATTGCAAGAAACGGCCTCAAGTGCTCCAGACCACAGTCTAGAACCTCAGAGCTGGTCTACTAAAAATTGCATGAGCAAGCATGTAAATATTTTTTTCTCATTCTTTAGAGTCCAATTTTACATACAATTCCTTGTTTACTTTCTCTCTTGCTTCCTTTACAGATTTCTTTGTATTCATATTTCAACTTATGTAATGTGATGTCATGTGAAAGTGATACTATTGACCGTCACACACCTACTAGATCACTCTAACCCCTTTATTCTGGTTTGAGACAGGCATGATACCAAAAATGATGCCATGGCGGAGTTAAAAAGTGTATGAATAAGAAAAATGTATTACAAAAAAGTGTATACATAGAAAAAATATTTATTTTGAAGAAAAAGTATTACACTTTTTGTTGTAATTTCAGCTGAAGAAAAAAACGTGTATAATATAGAAAGAAAAAGTAATTATTTTATTTTGAAAGGATGAAATATTGGTCACAAAATTGTAATGCGAAGTACACACATTCCAGTGTTCCTAAATAAATAAAAAAAATCATTTGGAAATTTAACATCATAGTTTTTTATAATGAAAAAATTAAAAGTAAAAAATGAAGAAAATAAAAACGAGAGTGGGTGCAGTGGGAGTGTGCGACTAGAGAAAGATTATGGCTGCGTTTGGATATCAGCGGATCCGCCAAAAGTGCATGATATACATGTACCCCGGAGTACCATGGAATAATTTGAAGTACGTTGTAGTATTGTGTACTACCTCCGTAAAGTTAGGATTTTCAACTCTGCATTTTCAACCGTAATTAAATAATCTTCTCATTTTTAAATCTTCTTATCATATCCTCAATAATTTTGATAATAATACACTATTACACATATTTTTTTGAATTTATCATTCATTCCATCACACTATTTCGTTATCTTCCTATCATACTCTCGATAATTAATATTTTTTTCATAGTTATAATCTCACTCATTTTCACTTAAGTCGTATTTAATACTCCTTAGACCATTTGTAGTGGTAAGGTATTAGGAGTCTAAAATGCTAAAAGTAGAGATTTTAGACTCCTAATTTCTTACATTGGAGAGCATTATAGGAGGCTAAAAATGGAGATGGGGAGGGAGGTGTCCAATTTTAGCCGGCCGATTGACTCTGGTGGAAGTGCTACTTTGCCAAAAAGAAAGGAATCATGAGTGGTGAGTAGTTAGTGGGCTCCATAAAATAAAACCCCATCTTTCTTAAAATGGTTATAATTTGCTTTTTCACAAATCAAATTTAGAAAAAAAAATATCAAAATTCATAATTTGTTGCGTATAAGCATGCGAATAAGGGCAAAGAAATATCTTGTGTATTATCACAAGAGTTTGTGGTGTATTTATACATGTGTTGGCCGAAAATATACAACCCTTGGCCCAAATACTATAAACTAGGCTATGAATATAATAACAACTATACAAGCCCATAATATGGGTCTAACACCCCCCCTCAAGTTGGAGCATGGGGATTAAAAATGCCCAACTTGCTAAGTAGAAAAAGAAATTGGCGTTGTCCGAGAGCTTTGGTAAAAATATCTGCCAACTGCGTAGTGGTAGTGACATGTCGAGCTTCCAAGAGACCCGCCTGAATAGCATCACGGATATAATGACAGTCAACTTCAATATGTTTCGTCCGTTCATGAAAGACGGGATTATGAGCAATATGAAGTGCAGACCGACTATCACAAGACAGGGTCATGGGAGATGAATGTGTGATGCCGAAAGATTGAAGAAGCCCGTGGAGCCATTTCAGTTCTGCAGTGACAGCCGCCATGAAACGGTATTCAACTTCAGTAGAGGAACGAGAAACTGTCTGTTGCTTCTTGGTCTTCCAAGAAATAGGAGAGGCACCGAGAAAAATTACCCATCCAGTTAACGAACGGCGAGTGAGAGGACAGCTCGCCCAGTCTGAATCACACCAGGCCGTGAGGTGCAAATCAGAGGAAGACGAAAGAATAATGCCTTGACCGGGTGAACCTTTGAGATAGCGGACAACCCGCAAAGCAGCATGCCAATGTTCATGTCGTGGGGCCTGCATAAACTGAGACAAGGTATGCACAGAATAAGCCAGGTCGGGACGAGTAAAAGAGAGATAAATAAGTTTGCCCACAAGACGCCTATAGGACTCCGGGTCGGTCAATAAATCGCCGGTAGCCAATGCGAGGGAGTGATTTGGTTCCATGGGACAGGAGGATGGTTTAGCACCGAGCAGACCAGCCTCAGAAATAATATCCAAAGTGTATTTGCGCTAACAAAGAAATAACCCGTCCTGACTACGAGCCACTTCTATGCCAAGAAAGTATTTAAGAGGACCCAAATCCTTCATATGAAAACATGTATGCAGATACTCCTTGAACCGGGTGAGAGCAAAGGAGTTGTTTCCAGCAATAATTAAATCATCAACATAGATTAAAATATGCAAACACACAACGCGCCGTTGATATGTAAACAAAGAATAGTCAGATTTGGATTGAGAAAATCCGTATGTTCGCAACGCAACAGTCAACTTAGCAAACCAACATCGGGGAGCCTGGCGCAGACCATATAATGATTTCTTCAACTGACAAACTAGGGTGGGCCTAGAAGGATGAAACCCAGGTGGAGGTTTCATGTAAACCTCATCACCTAAGTCACCATGAAGGAAGGCATTATGCACATCCATCTCATGAACCTCCCAATTTTTAGCAGCAGCAACAGCTAGAAAAACACGAACAGTGACCATTCTGGCCACGGGTGCAAAGGTTTCAGTGTAGTCAATACCTTCTTTTTGATGATTACCAAGCACCACGAGCCGAGCTTTAAGGCACTCTATCGTCCCGTCAGAATGATATTTTATTTTATACACCCACTTGCAGCCAAGAGCCCGTTTTCCCGGAGGAAGTGGAACCATATCCCATGTTTTTTATTTTCAAGAGCTTGTATCTCTTGTTGCATTGCCGTACGCCAACCAGGATCTGACATGGCTTCACGAAAAGAAGTAGGCTCTTGTCCTGCAAGAACAGCTCCTAGAAACATCCGATGGCGAAAAGAGAATTTTTCACAATTTAAATAATGTGCTAAAGGATAACGCGTACCTGAGGAACTCAGAGAGGCAGATGATGGCGAAGATGGGCTTAATTCTCGTACGTGATGAGTGACAAAATCCCGCAATAAAACTGAAGAACGTTTGCAGCGTAGGCCACGTCCCAGTGGCTGAGAAGCTGCATGCATGGTGTCGTCCATAGCTGCATGGGTGTTTGTTCCTGCATGCGAAGCATCGACATGCATGGTGTCATCGGCTGCCATGTCATCCTCGGTGGCTGCTGGCACGATCGGGTCATCATGTATAACCTCGGGGGGGGGGGGGGGGGGGCAGGTTCAATAGTCGGAGCAGCCACCTGTTCTTCAAATGGAAAGATGTCCTCATGAAATAACACATCCCGAGAAACAAAAATAGCACCGGAGTCTAAATCATAGAGCTTCCATCCCTTCTTCCCAGAAGGATAACCAACAAAGACACATTTCCGACTGCGAGGGGTAAATTTATCACCACGAGACTTAAGATTATGGGCAAAGCATAAGCACCCAAATACCTTCAGGTGATCAAAATCCGGAACATGGCCAGTAAGAATTTCAAACGGTGTCTTGCCCCCCAATAAACCAGAAGGAGTTCGATTAATGACATAAACAGCCGCTAAAATGCATTCACCCCACAAGAATAGGGGGATAGAAGCCTAAAACATCAATGCACGGGCCACATTCAAAATGTGACGATGTTTGCGTTCAACTCTGCCATTCTGTTGAGGTGTCTCAACACAGGATGTTTGAAAAAGGATGCCATGAGTATCAAAGTAGGGTAACATACACCGGAATTCGGTCCCATTGTCACTAAGCACAGTTTTCACAGAGTGCTCAAATTGCTTTTCAGCCATGGTGATAAAGGACACGAAGTAATGAAAAACTTCCTTTTTATCACGTAATAAATACACCCACACAGCCCGGGAAAATCATCAACTAATGTCAAAAAATACACGGCGTCACAAGTAAAAGGAGTTTTATAAGGACCCCATAAATCACAGTGTATCAATTCCAAAATACGACAAGCTTTATGATCACTAGTAGGAAAAAAATCACGGACTTGTTTGGCCTGCGGACACACCTCACAGGTTTTATTTAATGCTTTCTTAGAACAACTAGCGACAATATGAGGTAAAAATTTAAGTACTCGATCTGAAGGATGCCCCAATCTACGATGCCACAACTCAAAGTCTGACAGAACCGACTTGTGAACCGCATGCACCACTGGAACTCCTCGGAAAAAATAAAGCCCATCTCGCCTTTCACCGGCTCCAATCAGGTTCCTCGAGCGTGGGTCCTGAATAGCACAAAATAAATTAGTGAAAGTTACAGTGCAAGCAAATTGATCAATTAATTGAGAAACAGATATCAAGTGGCAATTCAATCCGGGCACATAAAGCACATGATCAAGTGCTAGAATCTGGGAAAGATGCACTCTTCCCTCTACCACGGCCACCACAGTCCTCCCATCGGGCAGTCCAACACGACACGGCCGAATATGATTACGGTTTGTAAGACAATTTAATTCACCTGTCACGTGATGAGACGCCCCAGTATCAAGTATCTAAGGTAAAGAATTATGTATACCTGACATACGATCACACGAACTAGCGTCAATATTAATCAAATTCAAAAGCGCATGGACCTGCTCTTTACTTAATTCGTTCAGCCCGTTGACCGCACCCGTGGAAGAAGAAGACTCGCTGCCTCCCGCGGGCAGCAGTGTGGGAGAGATGGCGTGAGTGCGCACCCCCCCTCCACGCCCGCTGGTGCCATCGCGATTCCCGGTAGTCACTGCCCCTTTATTTTTATTTCTCTCGTCCCACCAATCCGGATAGCCGTGAAGCTTAAAACAATTTCCGACTTCATGCCCTTTTTGTTTGCAATGAGTGCAAATAAGTTTTTGTTTTTCAGCCCGATCCGGGCGTGCCTTTGTCACAGCAAATGCCTGAACATCAACTACCGGGGCTGGCTGTTTTCCACGTGCAGCTGCGCGAGAATTCTCCTCTTGGAGAAAAACTTGATAAGCTTGGTCAAGATCAGGAATCGTGGTGTGGGAAAGCAAATTGGAACGAACCGTTCCAAATAATTCATCATCGATCCCTATCAAGAACTGGTGCAGTTTTTCTTCTTCCCTGTCCTTAGCAAACTTCACAGCAACATCGCAGGTACACAGCTTGCACGTACAAGAGTGCAGGGGTTTGAGCCGATTTAGCTCGTCGAACAGGCCCATCAAGGTTGTGAAATAATTGTCCACAGTCATGTCCTTCGTTTGCTTACAGTCAGTGATCGACTTTCGCAACTGCTGAATCTGAGGCCCGTTTGCAACGCTAAACCTCTTTTCCAAATATGTCCATAAAGCACGGGCCTCCTCATGGAACGGAATAGACGCGACCACGTTGGCCTCCATGCTTCGTAGTAACCAAGAAACCACCATAGAGTTCACGGTTTCCCAATCGAGAACCAATTTTGCCGGCTCAGTCGGCTTAGTCATTGAACCATCGACGAAGCAATATTTCTGTCTTGCCTTTAGGGAAAGTGTGATGGCTCGAGACCATCCCACATAATTATCTCCACGGAAAATCACATGGGTAATAAGGTTTCCGGGCTGATCTCCAGACCTGAGATAATATGGAGAAGAAGGATCAGTCATGGCGTAAGAGGACAAACACGCTGGTGCCGCCTCACGCAATTGCCGAAGAAGACGACGTGCGGCTTAGCAACGCTCTGATACCATGTTGCGTATAAGCATGCGAATAAGGGCAAAGAAATATCTTGTGTATTATCAAAAGAGTTTGTGGTGTATTTATACATGTGTTGGCCGAAAATATACAACCCTTGGCCTAAATACTATAAACTAGGCTATCAATATAATAACAACTATACAAGCCCATAATATGGGTCTAACATAATTTTTTGTACTCTTTCATATGACACCAATATGTAATATATAAAATGAAAAAAAAAATCTGAAATTTTAACTGTTGAAATTTTCATAAGCCCAAAAAAATACAAAACACAATTTTTTAATTCATGTAGCCTTCACAAATAACTTAATATTTCGTAATCGAACTTTACTTGAACTAAGTTCATTTTTGTTAACCGAAAAATGTTAAAATTTTTTAATGAAGTTTATTTATTTTTACATCGAAATGTGTATTTTTACTTCAAAATTATTCAGGGATTAAATTAAAAAGAAAAATATTACTTATAATAATTTAATTAATGTTTTACTAAATTGATATGTAAAAAAATATGCAGAGTGTATTTTATTGACGATGTTGGAATGCAGAGAAATAAGAGTCAAAACACTGTTTTCTTACTGACAGAGTCTATTTTTGACATTTTGACTCACACCAATCCAAATGGTCTTAGTATACAAAAAATGAGAACGATGGAAGCATTACGGAATAGTTAGTGGTTGGCTCAACTATGATCACGAATCGATTCATAAATATCCTGCCATCTGTCCATCTCCTCATTCTCATCATTTTCATAAGTGCTCCGGTATCCATTATAATCTTATCCAAGGTGATCGACCATCAATGTATGGAGTAGTTGATTATATATTTATTTGTTAATTAATAAATTAGTTTCGTTTCGAAATAGGAAACGAAAATGTAAGAACATGTTTACTGACAGAGATATTTTTCATTTTTCTATTTCTGTTTTCAATTCTCAAATTTTCTGTTTTCATTTTACTGTTTTTCTATCTCCAATTTTTTGTTTTCATTTTTTAGTTTTCCATTTTCAAATCTGAAAACATGTTCATCAAACTTTTTAACCTGGTTCTGTGACCGACCAGAATACTGAAAGTACGGTACCAGTCCTGAACCAAACCTAGTACAACCCAAGTAAAGTACTGGGTCCCACGCATAGGAAAGTCGGGATCGAAACCAGATGTCCGATCGATCTCAACGGTTAGTTTGACGAATTCTTTTCTTATTTTCCTATTGATTGACAATAAAACGGATCTTTTTAAAACTATTCACTTTAAAAATGATTTCAAGAAACCGAGACCGAACCACCGAGTCATTGACCGAAGCGAACAAGGATCGTCGGGTCATTTGCGGGACTGGCTCGGGACCGCTCGACTGTCGATCAGACTGAACACAAATCGTTGGGTCATTGGCCGGACAAGATAGGGACCACGGGGTCATTGATCGGATAAGACGGGACTGTTGGGTGGTTGACCGGACTGGACGGAGGCCGCCGAGTAGTTGACCAAATTGGACAGGGGCTGCCGAGTCATTGACCAGACCATATTAGACCAAGACTTCCCGACTGTCGACCGAACCGAATAGGTACCACGTGGTCGTCGATCGGAATGAACAGGGACAGACAAGTTATCGATTAGACTGGACATAATTTATGCCATACTACGTAATATTTAACATCTATTCAATAAGAATGTTTGACATAATTAAGAGCTCGTTTATTAACACTGAAAATCGGCTGAATCAGCTGATCCTGCTGAAATTTATGAAGTTCTGGCTTAAGTGGCTGATTCTGTTGATTTATGAAAAAATAAAATTTAAAATATATTTTATTAACAAAGTAAAGAAGAAATTAATGTAAAAATATCTAAACTGGTCATCTACAGTAACTTCAGCCGAAATAGCCAAAAAAGTAACTTCAATATTACTTTTTCTTATTATTACAAATTTCAGAGCATGAAATCAAAAGTTATGTGTTTGGTGACAAAGTTGACTGATAAACCTGATTGGACAAATAATAAAGAGAAAAGTGTCAAATAAAGCCCCATACTATTAGAAAAATGTCAATTAAGGTCACCAACTCAAATATCACCCAATTAAATGCTCCTACTACCAAAAAAAATTCAATTCAACTTTTTAATAGGTAAACCCCCACTCATCAAGTACACATGTACACATGGCGACACGTGTGCGCCATATGGCTTTTCTTTTCTTTTCTTTTCCTTCCTTTCTCCCTACTCTTCTCTTATACCCTGCACCCGTGAGCTTTCTCCCTGCATCCTTTAGCTTTCTTTCTCGGCCGTTCTTCTCTTCCTTTTTAATTTTAGTTTTTTCTTTTCCTTTGCTTTAATATATACATCATCTAAAGCCATCCATGAGGCCGCAACAAGATCTCAGCCTAGGTTCTGCCAATCATCTTCTCCGTTGACTTCGTAACCCCCCAGAGTACTGCCTCCCGTCGCAGTACGATGCCGAAACGGACGCCATTGTGAGGCAGCGAGGATGGGTCTCTTGACGCAGCGTTCCGGTGCAGATCTGGGTCTGGGAGGACTCTGCTGCTTGGATTCTGAGAGACACGCTGACGGCTGACCTGATGTGGGCGAGGAAGAAATCAGCCGGGGAAGAGAATGAAAGGGGTCAGGAAAGAGAATGAAAGAAAAAGAAGATATGGAAAAGTTGCAGGAGGTGTTGAAGATGGAGCCTTGTTTGGAATGCAGGAGTATATACCCGACCGGGTATGTTGGGTTACCCGATCGGGTATGAGGTGTTGATGGGTCGAGTATTTCCTTGGTTTCTACACTCGATCGAGTATTGATCATTACTCGGTCGAGTATGCGTGTAAGGGTTACTCGGGTTATACCCTGGAGTTTATACTCGATCGAGTATGGAGGTATACTCGGTCGAGTATGTGTAAAAACACTACTCGGGCAGAGTTCTGGAGAACATACCCGATCGGGTACAAGGGCTGTACTCGATCGGGTATACGGGAATTTTAATTGCGGGCTTAATTTTGGGCCTGCGGCTCTAATCCTTGTTTAGGTTTTCTTAAACCTATTTAAACACCTCTAATGTATCTGTAAACATACCAGACGCTGGAATAATAATACATCTCTCTCTCGTTCGCCGTGGACTAGCGTAATCACTCCGATTGCGTGAACCACGTAAATTCATGTGTTATTGCTTTAAATTTATCGTTTATCTTAGCCTAATCGTGATAATTAACAACTGATATCAAAGCTATGGCTGACGAAGGGAAGGTTAAGATCGATAAATTTGATGGTCAAGATTTCACTTTCTGGAAGATGCAGATCGAGGATTATCTCTACCAGAAAAAGCTTCATCTACCCTTGTCTGAGAACAAACCAGAGACGATGGCGGAGGCAGAATGGAACTTGTTGGACCGACAGGCTCTTGGTGTGGTGAGGTTGTCGTTGGCGAAAAACGTTGCTTACAACATCGTCAACGAGAAGACAACGTTTGGACTGCTCAAGGCGTTATCCAACATGTATGAGAAACCCTCAGCGGCCAACAAGGTTTTCTTAATCAGACAGTTGGTGAATACAAGAATGAAGGAAGGTGCATCCGTGACAGATCACATCAACGAGTTTAATTCAATCATATCCAGGTTAGGCTCGGTTGAGATTAAATTCGATGATGAAGTTCAAGCACTACTTTTGTTATCATCTTTGCCCGATAGTTGGTCCGGTACAGTCACAGCAGTTAGTAGTTCGGCTGGAACCACTACGCTTACCTTTGAAGGTATTCGTGACTTAATCCTTGGTGAGGATATCCAGAGGAGGAGTTCGGGGGATAGCTCCAATAGTTTGTTGAGTACTGAAGATAGGGGCAGAAAATCCACTAAAGAGGGTAGCAAGAAAGGAAGATCAAAGTCGAGAAAGAGGGGTCAATCCAAGAACAGGAAGGACATCAATTGTTGGAATTGCAAGGAGAATGGACACTTCAGAAATCAGTGCCCAAAAGCCTCAACAAATAAAAGCAAGAAAGAGGTGAACGTGGCAGAAGATTATGAAGATGTTCTAATTTGCAGCGTTGAGAATTCAGTTGAGTCCTGGATCATGGATTCAGGTGCGTCGTTTCATGCTTGTCATTGCAGGGATTTGATGAAAAATTTCAGGCCCTACGGCGGAAGAGTTCGTTTGGCGGATGATAAATCCCTGGAGATCACGGGTATTGGGGATGTTGATCTCAGTACCACTTTGGGTACAACCTGGAGGCTGAAAGATGTCAGGTATATTCCAGACCTGAAGAAGATGTTGATCTCAGTAGGACAGCTTGATGAGGAAGGCCATAACGTTAGTTTTGGCAACAAGCAATGGAAGGTAACAAAGGGAAAGCTGGTCATTGCTCGTGGACAAAAGCATGGTACACTGTACATGGTTGAAGTGTCTACAGATGGAGCAAACGCAGCAGTTGAAGATACAGGGATCTCTACTTTGTGGCATCAAAGACTTGGGCACATAAGTGAGAATGGAATAAAGATGTTGTCTTCAAAGGGCAAAATCCCAGATTTGAAGAATTCAAAGTTGAGCTTTTGTGAGCCATGTGTTCTAGGCAAACAAAAGAGGGTAACCTTTGTGAAGACAGGACAGCAACCCAAGACTGAGCGGCTGGAGTTGATTCATTCAGATGTCTATGGACCTACAAAGGTCTCTTCAATTGGAGGTTCCCGCTACTATGTTACATTCATTGATGACTCTACACGGAAGGTATGGGTTTATTTTCTTAAAAATAAATCTGATGTCTTTAACACTTTCAAGAAGTTCAAAGCTGCAGTTGAGAATGAAACAAATCTCAAGATTAAGTGTTTAAAGAGTGATAATGGGGGTGAGTACAGTAGCACAGAGTTTGTAGAGTATTGTGCTGACCAAGGGATCAGAATGCTGAAGACGGTTCCAGAAACACCACAACAAAATGGTGTTGTAGAGAGGATGAACAGAACATTGAATGAG